TACTGCTAAACGATTTCGGCGTTTTGAATGCAACCATCCCATTGTAGAAAAAAGTCTTTCAAGAGATGCTGTAGTTACTGCAATTGAAAAAATATGTTTAGCTATGCGGTATAATTCTTTAGAATAACCACGAACATAATTCCAAAATTCCAAAATATTATTAAATTGTCGTGCAGTACTATCATTGTAAGGATATTTTTTTTGCTGATAAGCTTCTAACTCAACTAATAATACTGTTGGATTTTCATTAAACCAAGCATAATAATAGTAAGTAATCCATTTACCAAGATGTGGAAAAGATAAAGTTTTAATTTGTGAATTAAATTTATCAATACGATATCCTGCATGGAGTAAAATGCTAATAGTAAAAGAGGCTGTTCCCAATAATTCCACTTTTTTTCAAGTTTTTTTAAAAGCTTATTTTTAAAATTATTATTATCTAATGAATGCAAAACTATTACTAAATTACCAAAGCAATGGAGAACATCATGAAGTTGTGAATTTTATTGTTGAAGTTGATTAAGTACAGCACAATAGGGAAGTATTATTATTTCTAATTCTTTAAGCTTTTTCCACCAATTACTATCAGAAATGCAATTAAGATGTTCTTTGGGAAAGTCATAAAGATCGTCATTGTCTTGTTCCTCAATTTTTGTTGCTAAATTCTAATAATTAATTTTGATTTTAATTTTTAAGTTTAAAATAATATAAAATTATATCGAAAAATTGATACTTACTTTTAATGCAGATTTTGATCGTAATAAACTTGCAAAACAATAATATTATGAATTCCAATGAGTATCATTAGATACAATTAATGTGTAATATTTATTTTTATATATTGCTGCTTGCTCTTCTCGTAATTTTCCAATCCACATTTTTGCATGACTAAAAAAACTAGCAATAGTAACAGCTTGCTCACCTACTTTTGTAAGAGAATTAAATTCCTTAAAGTTATCACCTACACATAGATTCATTTGATGAGCAAAGCAAGGCAAAAATAGTTTATCACGATAAAGTAATTGAAGCTGTTTCTATTAAAATATGTTTTAATAATTTTAATAATTAATTAATTAATAAATAATAAAACGAAAAATATATTATATAAATAATATACCGTGTAGAAGCATTTTCTGATGCTGAATCTGTAACTAGCCCATTAACCATTATATTTTCTTGGTCTATTTCAGTAAAAAGTTTTTGTGTAATATGAATAATTTCATTGGAAGTACCCCTATTACCACCACAATTGATTGCTTTCTAAATAATCATTTCACCTGTAGATGTAATAAGAACTATACCAAAAATATGTTGTCGTGCTACATTTTTTCACCCATCAAAAGCAAGAGTTACACCAAATAAATCATTTTTAGCATTATCGAGTAATTTTGTTAAAACTTTATCAGTTGCATTTTTTAAAATACGTCCTGATAATACTTTTCGAGAAGGTAATGTAATCATTAGATTTAGCCAACAAAATAAACTTTTGACTGTAGAATCTTCAATCCATCGGAATGTAAATCCACATGAAACAGTTACATCCAATGAAAGTTTTTCAAGTTTTTGTTCTTGAATAATTGTTAACGGACAAAATATATAATTATCTAGTGTAATCTCATCCAAACTTGATAATGTTTCTTCCAAGTTATTATTTTTATTTTTCTCAAGCATTGAATTATTGTCATCAACAGATGATTCATCAGATGAAGATGATTTTGTACGACATCTTTTTTTAGATGATTTTAACTTTGCACCATCTTTTGCCACATCATTGAGAAGTTTTTCTATTTGCTGTAAATTATATTTTTGCGTAAAATTTTGACAACTTTTAATATGTCGTACACATTCTTTTTTAGTATTTGCAAACTTTAATTTGTATGCTTTATTTTTTCCAATTATACTAATACAAGATCAGCATACAGCATATTTGTTGCTCTTATTTGCCTTTTTAGTTGCATGCAAAACTATAACATATGGTGTCAAGAAATGTTGCCAACGACTCATTATACTATTTATTATTAAACTAAAAATTATGATTAAAATTAAAAATGAGCACCTTTATCTTTTCTTTGATTTCTTTAAAAGATAATCGCAAAAAAAGAGATTAAAATAAAAAAATTTTTTTTATATTTTACGATCAATCATCTGTTTAACCAATTATGGCTAATTTATGACGCATATTTTAAAGATTAAAAAAAAATTTATACTTTACAATCGATCATCTTATATAATGCGTATTATAAAATTATTAAATTATAATTTGGGTTAGCATTATAAATTTGGCCAGAATTTATAGTATATAAACTGACCAAAATTATAAAAACATAGTCCATTTGAAATTGGAATTGGACTGGACATCTCTATTAGGTCCAAAGTCCAATAGTCTATTTGTGTTGATCTAATTTTATAAATAATACAATGGTTAAATTGTTTTTGAAATCTGAATCAGAATTTCGACACAAAGTGTTTAAGCATTTTAATTATGAGTTTATTGTATTATTCAAGTTTCATAAGATATCAAATTAGAATTTCAATTTAATAATAAAAAGATTTTTCATGAGTTATCAAATCAGAATTTCAATTCAATAATAAAGAAATTTATTTTTAAAGGGAAGTATTTTACCATCATTTAATTTTTCATTTTTGAATACTTTCAATTCTTTCAATCATTTTATTAAATCAAACCATTAAATTTTTTAATTTTTACAAATCTAATAAAAAAAATGGCTGCTGCAAGAATTATCTGAGGGATATTGAGACTAACTATTTAGTTAAAGAAAGAAGAAAATGTAACTATAAATATCATTATTATTTTTACAGGAATAAATTAAGGTTCTGGCAGAGTGTCACAAGAAGAATAAATCAATAATATAATGGCAATTTTTCTGCTCGTCAATGCGAGCAAAAGTGAAGAAATCTGGTAAAAAATTATGAGGTAAGTAAATAAATAAATAATAATATGTTGATAAATATAACTGAATAGTATAAGTAATTAATATGTATCCATTAAGACTTTTGTGATTGATGTAATAGTATAAGAAAAGGAGGAAGGTGATTGTATAATAGGAAACAATTTATAATTTATTCTGAACTAGGTTTTGAAATAGGCCAAGTAATTATTAAAAATGTTTAATTGATAGTTCTTAATAAAATTTTAGGAATTTTTAGATTTATATTAAGTATTTTTACATTTTTTAGTTACAAGGTATCATTGAAGAAGAGCCTGTAACGTACTGATGGTTAACCAGTAATTGGAAATGAGAAGAGTAGGATGTTTAATTTTTTAATTTTTTTTAATTTTTTTATATTTATCGAGACGCAGGGGGGGGGGGGGGGTGATGGGTTTTAATTTTTTTAAAAATTTCTTTATTTTTATCATAGGGTTTTATTTTTTAAAAAAATTTCTTTTTACTGGAGGTGGTGGGGTTTTTATATATTTTTTTATTGTTTTTTTTATTTAATTTTTAATTTTTTTCATATAAATAAATAATTTAATTTAATTTTAAACTATCGTTAATAAATTTTTTACCTTTTTTTTTGTTTATTGAAAAGTTTTTGGTTTTATATTAAAACAAAACCATTCTTTTTTATTTTCAATTATAAAAACTTTTAAAAATAAATTTATATTTATAATTATAAATTGTTTCATTTAAGATTAATTATAATTTTTATATTACTAAAATTGTTTCAAGATCACTTTAACTTTAATCACAAAAAGGTTATTCTATAAAATGATATCATAAAATTAATTTTAATTATATTATATTAAAATTATGTTTGTATTTTCTTTTTCAGTAATCATCTGTTATACTAAATAATTTATTGTACTATATTGAATAATTTGTTTTTTTTTTTTTTAATTTCAGTACGTAGTGTTTGGATGAGACGTTAATGACCCAGTATCTCAAGTACCCTATCAGCCGGCCTCACCCACTAGGTCTCCGCTGGCTCATATGTCCATTGGCAACCCACACCATTGTAACTAGCCCAGATATTGCCATCACCCTTAGTGGTGCTGTTGCTGGCTTGAGTCTATTAGGAAGATTTGACCCTCCCTATCGGTTACCAGCTATCTGAGACCATATATCACTATAGGACTGAGGGATCCATTACACCATATTCCTTGCTAGGGTATACTCTTACCCCAATTAATGCCGCAGGGTTTATGGGATTATTACCACAAGATTTGCCCAAACGGTAAACTAACGGAGGTGATGATCAGGCCATATCGACAAATATCTTAGGAATCGAACCTAACCTCAGACCCAATGATATGCTCGATTAGACGATGAAGAACATTCAGATATTAACGATTGGCAGTTACTTATATCACTAAGCAAAATAATACAATTCTTCATATTTAAAGTATCGAAAGTTGGTCGAATTATAGTCTAATTCTGCTGATCATTGCCAAAAAATCGGCATTTTAGATAAATAGAAAATCAGCTATCAATCAGCATTAATGTTAAAAATTGGTCAAAATTCAGTATAAATCAGCTTAAAATTGGTTAATAATCAGCTTAAAAATAACTAAAAATCAATTCAGCAATTATTTATAAAATCAAAACTAATAAAACTCATTTTTGTATATTTATAATTTATAAT